GTCTTAATCATGTTAGAAATAAATGAAAATCATTGACAGAAGAGCAAAATTGTATTTTTTGTGTTTTCAATGATGTCCTGGGTTTTTGGATGCCCTCAGAAGCTCTGATATCATGCAGTGAAAAAACATAACGGGGACTCAAAGTAATTTTTGCCAAGGTTACAGGAAAAGCTTTTTGGGAGCATCCTTAGTTATTAGATGATTATAATGATAATCACCTCCCCCCAGAAGTCGCATCCACGGGTTGCAAAGTATGCGACTTCCTCACATGCGCGGCTTGCTGTCCCAGAACGGAAGGACTCAACAACTTCCGGACCCTCTTGTTGACCTGATCTCCGGATCCAAAGTTCGGATCCCCCAGGGCCCCCGACAGCAAAAAGTCAGCCTGAGCTTTCTTGTTGGCCTCCATCAGCAGGTGTTCCGCCTCTGGTTTAGTCAAAGTGGGTGAAACCCTGTTGATGTTATTGTCGCCTTTGGTCCGGGTGACGGGATTGAGCATGATGTAGGCGAGAGACGCAGCGACTGCAGCGCCAGCCGACGGAGGACCAGCAGTGAGGAGCGTGTAGTTGTTTGGCAAGGACACGTTTAGAGGTCGCTGCCATCGCACGCTGTATCCCTGCAGGTCGTACTTGCTGAGGACTCCCTCTGCTCGTTGCACTGCACTGACCATTCTTTAAAAAAATATATAAATCGAAAGGTTATTATTTTTCACCGAAATTTGCACGTTTTTACATAAACAGTTCAAAAGTTTAACCATTTTTGAGGATGCTGGCATTTGTTCGCACATGAGCATGATGTGCGACATCTACGCAGCTCCCTGAGAATATCCTAATGCAGGACTCCAACGCCTAGTCAACATCTCAGTCCCTTCAAAATAAATGCTTGATTACCTACTTCGACTTTTCACTGAAAAATATTTTTATCCATGAAAGTTGAGACAAGAACAATATTAAAATATTGTATTTCAATTCTACTTCTCAATTCATGAATTTCAACACCAGCTTGCATATTTCTCCCTAAAATGGTAATCTCTGTAAAATGGAATCAAAGTGAGAAAAAATTGTTGTGGAGAGAATTTTGTTGTAGAGAACCTGTGTAACATGGGAGAGAAACTTATTTGACTGCAAAGAATGTTATGCAGAAAAGGTTTTTGTAAACAGCCCTAATGTAGACAGAGTCCATCTTTCTATTTTTTTTAAGGTGGTATGAAGCTCAAAATAAAGCACCATAGAGAAAATTTTGCTGGGAAATCTAATGGACAGAAAAATTAAAGTAATGAATTGTATATAGTTGGAAAAAATGAATCACTTTGTACTTCTCAAAGAAATTTCAGGAAAGATCATTCAGAAACTTGAAAGCAAAAATTATCATCCTGTCTGATCTAGGATTGTTTCAACAGTCAAAATAAATGGCGGGGTTTCTTGATTTGAATTAGGTCACCTCTTTATAGAGCAGTA